GGTATAGAATAACACTGCAGTTGTTAAAATAAACGCCGGACACTTTGTCATAGTTTGAGTTAGTTTAAACGAAATTTTCGGCAGCGCCATGACACTTACGCTAAGGATGGCAGCAGGCGCTGCCGAAAATTTCGTTTAATAAATGTATAATTATGTCTCAAACTATATGTCAAAGTGTCCGGCGTTTATTTTAACAACTACAGCGTACTCTAGAGGCTGCATATGGTAGGTCTAATTATGAAAATGCTGCTGCGAGGTATGCCGGTGCAAATTGATTTGGTGTAATCTAGGTACACTCACCCGTGTATCGTCGGCCGATTCCATGAAGAATGCGATGCTACAAAGCTCGTGCAACAATTTTTTTTTTGTTCAATGACGATTTGCTGAAACTGCTACTGGCAATCAGCAGACAGTTTTGTGCCTTCGAGCACTTATATAGCGACAGTCATGACACATTAAATGTAGTGTGGGAAGTAGTGTAACACTGGACCTACGCAGACGTTAATCAGGACCGGCACCTTTTATTCTTTCTTATCATATTTTTCAACAATGTCATTATAAACTGTAGGCTTAACTTATTTCTTCCTTAATAATGATATACGGTATGTTCTGAAGATGCAAAGACCATTACACCGATACTAGAGATTACTCCCCTGGATCCTACTGCAGTAAGACTTGCAATCTCACAAAAATACATACCTACAAATGTATTATCTGCGGTGCCCCTGATTTTTACAACCATTTATACAACAATGATGGGCAACGATACTAGAGCATATAACTGTTTAAAAATGGTTATAAAAAAAAGGATAACATTGAATATCTTCAATCACTTAACTCGATCGATAAAATCATAATGTAAATTTTGGATATAATACAAAATTATAAAATTACATCGATATAGGAAGCGTTGATATAATCAGATCCTGTTGTACTCCCGTCTAACTTCAAAATAACACGTGATTTGTCATCTAAAAATAAAATTATAAAATCTTCATTAATACAAATATTTAGATCCGGATTCTACAATTACAAGTTCACGATAATTTTGAAAGTAATGTTAATTTTCGCATTACCAAATTGTATACTTGCCACCGCTTTGATATTCCTACTAATGAGAAACATTGGTTATTGTTTCAGTTAATTATTCGAAAATTTCGGTTAATAATGTTTTACAATACCATAAACTTACATGTTACTACATTTGCATATCTATTTTTCGTCTTATTATCTGAATGCTTAGCAACATCCCACGAGTGGCGTTGCTTTGTTCCGAGATCCTATTGGAGAAACAATGTTATGTAAAGAGAATTTTAGTAACAATCTTTTATCAGTCATTAATTTGTTAATATAATAATAACAATATGATTTAATTTATAACGCTCTTAATTATCATGTTTTGAACTGCATTATTTGTTTTTATTCATAATCAATTTTCATTCATAAACAGTTACAGTAGCCTATGTTCAGTAGTTCTATGAAAAGAAAAAGCAGAAGAGATTCATGTTTAAAATATTTGTAAATTCCTTATTCCCCAAATGTATGTGGAGAAAACAGGAAAACTGATTCTGTAGGCCTAAGGCTTAGAACTAGAGCGTGTTTTTTTTTTTAAGCGCTGTAAATCTGAAACCGAACCAAACTGGAAGAAGATAAAATCAATAAATAAAGAAACCGAGTATAAATATTTAGGCATCTTTTAGACCAACAAGAAAAGAAACAAAGTAGATAGAAGGATATGGACTTTAACACAGTTTTTAAGCTAAATACACATCACCAATGAGAAACCAGCTTAACGCAGAAAATAAGATAGAGGGCGTACGACGACCAAAAACACAGCATAATGTTATTTAGTAATCAAGGCTACAGTAGCTGAAACAGAAGCCGAAACGTAATGTAAACACGTAAACGTAGGCTTCAAAATGTATTAATAATTTAATGAAAATATTTTTATCATGCTAGATTAACTTTCTTTGCAATGTTACAAGTATCATTGATATTGCAAAAAGTTGAATATTATAATTTTATTTAATGCTGAAATGATTAATAAAAAAAATATTAAAATACACCAATTTCACTTTCTTTTGTTTTCTTTATTTATTAGACCCAAATACAAACACAACATGGTTGAGGGCAGCCTAAGCAAATGAATCACTTTCTCTCTGGTTAGCTGTTCCTAAAACAAACATGTTGATAAATATAGACTAAAACACAAAACACAGTAAAACAATTATTAATAATAAATAAAAAAAACTAACAAAAAGCTTGATGAAAAGTTTAAAAATTACATAATAAATTGCAAAAATGACAAAAGAGTCCCAAAAATAAAATGTTACATAGTATGGCCTGCACGAACGTGGGAATTGAGAGAGTTTATAAAGGATCCAAGTGATTCGTAGGTCAAACAACTTCAAGACTATCCGGTAAAACTGACCAAGTTCGAGAAATAAGAACAACAGATAATGAAGTATAATGCTTGAATGCAGATGATAAAAGGTCATGGTAGTTTGATGTTTATTCCTGATAGGTATATTTTTTTGTTTTCACCTAATCCAACATCCAACTAATTGTTTGATTATTTAAATCGTGTTGCTGAAGATTCCATTGTATATGCTACTGCTGTATGCTATTTAGTTATGAAATACAAGTGTATAAGACTGACATAAAAATAATACTCTCTCACCTCGAATTCTTTTTTCATTGAATCCACAGAGTTAGATCGCTTCATCATAACATAAGCATGGAGCTCTTTTAACGGGATATCTCTGGATGGTATGTCTGTATTTTCGTAGACAGGCTCGATGTCGATATTCTCGTTACAAACAGGTTGTTTCATATTTGTTCTGATGCGTACGTTGTCACCGTTCTCTGCCCCTGTAAAAACTTGTTTCGTTAATATTGTTTTTATTCCTATTGACAAAATACAATATTTTTAAATTGACGCTAAAATAACTTGCAAAAAAAATTATAATTATAGCAAAATGAAAAATATATAGGCCTATATTAAACATATTGGCTCTGGTGTAATTCCAATTCTGACCCTAATTCTATCCAGACACTCATCAATGCCTGTTCCACATCTGGATGAAGGCAGGGGCTGTGAGATGAATAAGTACATCGAAGTAACCTCCTACTTTATAGTATTGTATTGCATTTCTAAACACATAGCATGAAAAGCGGATATGGCAAAATTAAGAGTGGTGGTCACGACAGTAAATGATTGTAGACGTCAATTAGAGACAAATTACCTATGCTTTATATTTAAGAGAAAATATAACTTCATGGAGTCATCACCTTTACTCTACAAAATGTTGCTAATGGTCGGCAATGACGTTACTGAAACATGAGTATTGGATAATATTGAATTGGATTTATCCGAATGTGAAACATTCTAAAGATATTAACACACGAAAGTCGAAGACTTATATCCATTGGAGACATTCTGACAGTACACCGGGAGACATTCCGGAGACTGTATTGCGTTTTTCAAAATGGGCATTATTGTACTCCCGACCAATTGCTTAATCGTCTCATAAAAAATCTTGCATTTCAGCTCCCCCCCCCCCCAGCAGAGCACACTCTTGTTTACTTATGAACACTAGTTCTCAATTTACTGTTATAAATCCTACAGATTCTATTGAAAACCATACCTGCAGCATTGTTAACTTCAGGTTGATATTTTAAAATGGGGCTTTGATGATCCTCTTTTTTCCCTTTCTGACGTCTATAACAATAAATTTAAGAATTATTTACTTCTTCTTCAACACAATTCATTCGATTCTTATGTGCTAGTAATTACACTAAAAAAGAAAAAAAAATTAAAAACTAGATAAAAATATTTTTTATAAATATCAAACCTTCTCAAATAGTAAGCAAGTGTGATGAAAACAAGAATGGCAACCACTGAAACTACAATCCCAATCACAATTTGAATCTGTTTATTCGGCCCGTGTGTATCTACAAAAAGAAAAGTAGGTATGGCATAATGTGGCAATTACACAGACCTGAAACAATGGGCCTATATTACTAAATATTTATATGTAAGATATTACTAGTTCTCGATGAACTATTCAAGTTTACTGTTTCCTTGTCTGATATTTGTTTCATCTGGTGTTTTCCTGAATTATTATTTTATTATGATAAAAATATGATAAATTATAGATTAATAATATATGCTTATAATGATCGATTGTTTTTTTTAAATTATAAATACGTTATTTCTATAATTTAATGAATTTATTTAAAGATATGATATTGTCTAATATTATTAGATGGTTGATATAATAAAATTGTAAGTTGTCAGATATGATATTTAATTACAGTATTAATGAATTCAAATTATTATAATTTAAACCTTCTAATATTACTTACTTTGTGTTTCATTCACTTTCACGGCTTGAGTGGCCGAATAATTACCCAAGCCTTTCATCGTAATTGCTGCTACCTAAATAAAATGAGGATTTCCGTATTATTTTAAGGTGATTTATTTAGTAAGGTTGCCGTATCAATTGGGTCCGCTTATACTCTTAGGCAAGTCTCTTAAGATGCTTGGGTGAAAAGTGTTGCTTTTGATTGTGTAAAACATCAGTGACCTATTTAACAGGATTGAACCCAGTAAATCTATAGGCCTATTATAAAATACATTTTATTTTTTTTATTTACTTTAACAATATTTTGAGGCATCAAAAATGAAAAAAAAAAAAAAAAAAAAAAAAAAACACTCTAAAAGTCAATTTACACATTGTTGACACAGAAGTGATGTCATTTTGGGATCATGCCTTTTTTTCTGAATTCCTAGTAAACATACTGAAATTGGAAATATTCAAATGTGATTATTACTTCATCTTTACAAGTCTGCTCAATGGGTTATTAGCAACCTGTTATGAGTATAAATCAAACAATTTGTTTTTGTTTGTAATTCCTTTTACCTTTACGGTGTAGTTTTTGTCTGGTGATATTCCATCTTCAACCGTAAAGGTAACTTGTGTATCATTTGTATCTTTGGAGAAGGTTTTTTCATCACAACATTGCAAAATAACACTGTAGCTAACTGGACATTGAACTGTCGGGTGCCATTCAACATTAATACTACCACCAAAATATTCTGCTGATATGATCTCTGGAACTCCCGGAACTGGAAAAGGTAAGCATAACATATACTGTATTTAAGTATAAATAGCTGTATGAAAAAAAAACCCGTTGGGTTGTTCTAAAACATATATTACATTCAACAACAGCAGCTTATTAATATTAAGTATTTATGAAAAAGATCAATGGAAACTTGCGTTCGGCGTCCGTTGAAAGTTTTATGGAACTTGCTGGTCCTATTACTTCCATAAATGAGACTGAAACGTTAAAACTAAATTCTGTACATGGCTCAACAGCATCACTGATTGTGATTTCTACTTCTGTATCTGATGTGTTCCCACTTGTATACTCGTCATTGCTTTTCACGTAGTTGAGGCGATAGTGATATAAAAGGTCGGTTCCACTGTTACATGATGCAGGAGCATGCCACTTCATTGTGAATGACGTTTCCAAAATTGTCGAATTTGTAGATACAAAATGTGGCTCTGTAGGTTTAATTATTTTGTATTATTATCATTATTAGTTTTGATGTTACATTTGTTACGTAGAATGTTCAAACTTGATCATTTCATGTTTTCGATCTTTGTCATAAAACTGCTTTGGTTAGTTTTCTGTAAAATATACTGTTCCAAATAGAATTCAAAATAGCAAAATAAATAAAACATAATGTAGGTTTGATGATAGAATTATTTATTGGTTGTACCTGATGGTAACGTTATGATGTTAATAGCTTCGCTCCATGGACTTTTAAATTCTTTGTTATTGACGACTCTTAAGTCAACTACGTATTCGGTGCATTCTTTTAAGTCCGATATTCTCATCATTCTTTCAGTGTTGTGTGTCGTGTTCGTAATTAATCGACTTGACATCGTTGCATTTCGGTGACCAACTTGGTAGAGTAGAACATCTGAACACTGGATTTCTTCAAGGCCATCGGCCAGCTATAGAGTGTATATCCTGTCTCTTATACACAGATTGCACAAAATTATAGAAATTTAGTTTTTATGTATTTCATTTTTATCTTTTAAGGTAATCAAGTGATGTGTATTAAGGAATTGATCATCATTAAATTTACGCTGTACTTGAGGTTTCATCTACTATCAGCTACGAGCTTAGGTAAAGTCGTGACGATGACAGTTGTGGGCATTCAATATCGGAATGTAACATCTGTTTGCACAGTACTGTACTTGGTTTATTCGGATCGTAGAATTGAACCGTATATAAATATGTAATATCGAATCACAAACTGAATGCTTCTATTTTTACTTTTAACCTGTCACATACTAAAAAATTAAAAAAAGTAACTTAACCACATTTTAGAACTTACCATCCATTGCACTTCTACAAAGGTCTGAGAAACAAAAGTACTTGTCGGTGGTGCCGGCATCGCAGGTTCTAATATTAAACGTTAACAAAATTAAATCATTTACAAAAAATGCAATCCTGACTATTATATACCAAACATTTTCAAAACAATTATTTTTCATATTTGATCAAACTCAGCCACGCAAGTGATCTTCCGAGAGACCGCACTTATGCCCCCAGGCGTTCCGACCCATATTAGGTATTTTTCGCCGCACGACGTTACCTTTAACTTTAACGTTGGTGCCCAAAAATGATTTCAGACCGACCACGGATGGGACTGAGGCGAAAAAAATCAATAATGCAGCAATACTAATTTCCCAGAAATTGTATTCTCAAATCTAAAATACTTATATATAGTTGATATTATGTCGTTCAATTTAAATAGATTAAATGGGTTTCTGCACATCTATGGGGAAACTAGGGTGAGGTGAATACCCATGGTATTGTCTAACAAATTAATGTTATTATATTTAACCTATTGCAACAGCTATTTAGAAAATATATCAACGTATTTTCAGACCATCAAAATAATATCACAGCGACTGCATCACTGTAGCTTACCTGAGCAAGTGGTTTTAATTGTTTCTTGTGGACTTTCCGGTCCAGATGTATTAACACCTTCAACGAATCGCGAAAGTACACTGTAATATGTTACAATTTCATAAAGTTTCAAACCAGAAATTTTGATGACGTCAGGTGTGGTTGAATTAATTGACGTGAACTGACTGCTACTTTCGGTCTTATACCAAAGGGTCCATGATGTTATAGTCCCTGTACCGTAGTCTTTACCTTGTGTCCAGGTAACATCAACCAATATAGTACATGCTTTTGGTGTAGCGATTGGGGGCCTACTTAAGTATGGTAGAGCTGAAAATTATTAGAAACATCACAATTATTAATGTATTTTTTTTTAATGTAATGTTAATATCGGGATTTAATTTCCAATACATCCAGCAACAAGACGTTAGATCTACCAAAGTCCACGTAATTAACGTTGTTTCACATGTCAAGAAATGGTTTTGATAAATGTTGACTGATCAATTGCTTGTTTAGCCTTTGTATTATCACTACTCTGTTTTTTCCAAGTTCATTGCTTTCTTTAATAATATATACATGACATTATTGTTTATATTCATATAGAATACGGTTTGAAGGTTTGCATGGCGAAGTAATGGTTTTGATAAATGTTGATTGATCAATTGCTTGTTTAGACATTGTATCATCAGTACTCTGTTTTTTCCAAGTTCATTGCTTTCTTTAATAATATATACATGAAGTTATTGTTTATATTCATATAGAATACTGTTTGAAGGTTTGCATGGCGAATTAATAATATGTATTAATGCTTGTACACCATAGTTCTGAAAAGAACTATTGTTGTTGGTTGAGAATATCTCAATATTGGGTGAGATATTCTCAACCAACAACAACAGTTCTTTTCAGAACTATCTACGTTGTGTTCCGCAAGCATTGATACATATTATATTCATATAAATGTTCAATTTATTACATTGATTAAGCCCATCTAACATCATAAAATGTGGTTTCACTGATCACACAAACCTATGCTACAGTTTGAGCCTGCCCATGAATCACTGCATCCATTTGTACAGCTACCATCATCTCTCTTACAATCAGCTCCTGCCAAACAGTGGCATGGGTAGTTACAGAGTTCACCAAAGTAACCAGATGGACAGGATTTGTCTGATGATAGCACTAAAATACATAATGACACAATTTTAACACCCGACATCAATTCGGTTCAAAACGTTTATGGATCCTGCACAGTAGGCCTACACTTTTAATAAGTCGTGGATAATCTTAATAAATAAATTCAACATTCTTTGTAATTCTGAAGTTGAAGTAGAGCAAACCGTTTCGTTGAATTTTGTGGCTTGAGTTTTGTGACTGAGATTAAGGGCGGTAATGTATAATATGATTAGCAAACAGACACACTGACAAATAAGTTGGGAAACCAGTCTTCGTTGTTGTTGAAGATATTTGATGTTATGCTGCTTTTTTCTGTAACGTTGTCAGTAACAACAACTGCCTTCTGGTTACTATTTCGTAACGCAAAATAAAGTGCATGCTTTAAGTTCGATTTTCTTTTAGTAGTGGCGGCGCTAAGATTTTCTCCGACGGCAGGGCAACGCACTCGACAGGAAGGGCAAACTTGTACTTCGATGCGGTGCGTAGAAGGGTTTTTTTCGGGAGGGGTGTCTCCTTTTCAATTAGACAATTTTTAAAACTCGCTCATACAGGGCATTTTGACGCCGTGGTTATTGATTATTTAAGTCAAAACGTCGTGAGCAAGAGTTGAAATAAAACTGAAACTTGAAGTTACCTCTGTTTAATAAAAACTGAATCATAAATGTTGTAATGTAATGAATTAGCGGAAGCCTTCTAAAGTAATATCAAGTCAGGTAGGCATTTACAGTGTACTAGACGAAATGCTAGGCCACTGGCGACGGCGCATAATCGATAGATGTCATATATGCCGAACTATGACCAAACAATAGTTGAATGTTATAGGGAGTTGCTAAATACAACGGGTTCAGCCGAGGGGCGTGGCTTCGTATGTTGACGTCATGCAAAGCTTCAGCTATGTTCTGTATTAATTTCCTCGACAAAGTGTGGGCCCTGTCTGTAATCACACAGCATAGCAAGATACAGTCTTGTACAATTCCTTCATGGTACAAACAATGTAAGAAAAAATAAGTTGTCCCTGTGTGTTTTTCTTTCCAGAAATTAGGATCCCTGGAATATTATCAATTCATGGGGCCTACACAGAGTGAAATAATACATAAGCCTATAGTCTTATTTTGCGGTAGGGATTAGGCCTTAATCACAGCAAAAATGAAAGAAAAATCAATGGCCTAGGACCTACTATAGTACAATACTGTATTTAGCAGGGATGGCGGGGTGGGAGGGCCCCCGTCGGGTAGATCTGGCTTCTCTTCCACCCCCTGTCTTGGAGAAAAATCACAATTCGTTGGGGAGAAAAAATGTACTGTATTTTCTACATAATCCTATTAGTTGACACCAAAATCGACTAAGCCTTTCAAACCAAAAATTGTTTATTTGTCCGGGTAGGGAAGCCCCGTGGAAAACTTTCGACGGATACTGAGGGACGCCAGACCACGCCCACTTTTTTCGTCGGGGACCTCGGAGCCCGGGCGCGATTTTTTTCCCGTACGGAACATTTGCATGAAACTTCACTCAGGCCATTTCGGATTAACTCGACTGAGTTCGATACGAAGAACAAGAGCAGACACTTCGCAATGTCGTGACGCTCGAGTTTTACTATTACTGTATTGCTCTTTCTATGTTTACTTACGGTAGGCCTATGATATCTTACGGATTTATGAGATGTACATGTGTAACTAAACTGTGACTTTCTTGGATGTTATTAAATGTTAATATAATATCTACAACAACAACAGCTAGTACCCCCCTTTTTATAAAGTGTAGATAGGTACAGTAATACCAAAGGCTAGAGAGAAAGAGGATAAACTATAGGCCTAACTACAGGCTGAGTTTTAACTTTAAA